AGAGGGAGTTTACGAGGCAGTTCGGGGACATTCTTGATTTCGATGTTGGGAAGGCACCCGACGAGAACCACTTGAATTTAACGAGGCTCCAGCAAATGGGCCACCCTGCAGACTTTCCTCCTTCCTTTTCTCTACGTATCACGCTTACCTACCCGTTCTCGTGTGGCCCGTGAACAAAGAAGAAGGAAAAACTCATAATCGTGACGTCATCATTTCACAAACGTCTGTATCTATCAAAAAGAACTCCATCTCGTGAGCTAAAATTTACTGGTTTTTTTTCTTTTTTTTTTTTTAGAGGGAAGTGAATTTAAAACTTGGCTAGATGATGGATTCGAGAGATGGGTGGGGAACCCTTCCCTCCACGAATTCGTCCTTCTACACGATTTTGTAGCTTTGCGAAAATCTTCCGCGTCTACTTTCTTCTTCCTTCGAGAGGACAACTCTCTCGGCTACTTTCTCGTACTCGTACATCGGCAAATAGAAAATAATAAAGCGTAAAGAAGTGTAGTTGTACAAGTATATACAAGTATATGAAAGAAAAGCATGGGGGCTAGGATAGGATAGATTCGTTGGGAATAGAATCGCGTTTGGAAAGCTGGAGAGTCGGTTTCGTGCACCTGTAAAATGCCAGCCCTTCCTTTTCCCTTGGTTATCCGGAACAAAGGACGCCTACTTCTCGGTCGGCAGAATTTCGTAATAGGTGGTGCGAAAGAAAAAGGGAGGGAGGGAGAGAGAGAGAGAGAGGGACGGCGTTGCACAGCGAGCACAGCGCAACGTGTATACGGTTCGGGGTCGAGGCACGACAGGACCCGCTAAGTGGCAAAGTACACACCGGTCGGTCTGTGCCTCCTTCATTAGCACCAACTAGCCTCGGCGGCAGGCTTAGCCAACCTTTTCTTCCTTTCTTCCAGTGCCGAACACACTGGCTGGAAGAGGGTCCCCCTTCCTCTCTCTCTCTCTCTCTCTCTCTCTTTCTCCAAGCATCGATGTAGGTACAACTCGCGCTATAAACCTCGAGAGGAGATCTCTTCTCGGAAATATGCCAGCTCGCATACCGAACGCACACAACCAGCGTCACCTCCTCCGCTACCCTGCGGTTTTCTCCTCGATAACCGATACCTCCCGATTATTTTATAAAGTTTCTTCGTTTTACACCTCCCTCTCCTCTTTCGTCTCCACGCTCCATTTTTTCCTTTCTTTTTTCTCTAATTTGTCGAAAAGTAATCGTTGTTCGAACGCTCGTTTAATCGAACGTTTTTTTTTTCTATGCTTGATGTTGCAGAAAAACTTACGACCCAGTCCGAGGACTTCAGTAAAATGTTGTACATCTTCGCGGAGAAGAGCCAGCGATACATCTGCTTCAACAAGAAATGGAAACTCGTCGGCCTGGTAATTACGCTTGCCCGCCAATTAGTAGACATATTTCATTATCGCGCGCGACCGAGTATATTTATACGCGTCGGGGGTCGTACACGACCGGGTTGGGAAACGGCTTTATATCCGTCGCTTATTGCGCATTGACACAGACAATCCTCGTTAAAAGTGTAATTTGCGAGGGAAGATTATTAAACGCGCGGCGAGATTCGAGTCGTAACGTAACGCGCTCTACTCTTATATAAGCTAGGCGCTTATTAGTCCATCCCATTTATTATTTATATACAAGCGAGATGATACATGTTTTTTTTCTTCTCTCTTTTTGTTCTTGCAGCTTAAGAAGCAAAAGGGTTATTGTCAGTTCTACGAGGAGTACAACGGCTCGTATCTGACGTACAGGAACGTGAATAATTCGCGGTATCTCGGGTTCAACAAGTCCGGGTACCCGATCAAGAATCGCGGTCGGCAGGAGTGCTTCAATTTCATCAAGTACAATCCCCACGCCGACATAAATCACCACAACAGCCTGGTGAACGCGGACATGGGTGGTATGGGGCCGAGGGATCCGTACGTGGTGTCGAGGAAACCGTCGCCCGCGAGGGACACGAAGAACTCCCTGTTGCAGGCGGACAGTACGAGGGAGACGATCCACACGACGCATCATTATCGGCACTCGAATCGTTGGAAGATGCGCCAAGGCGAGAAGATGTCCGCGCCGCGAAGATGGCACGAGAGCCGTCTCTTCGTCGAGGCCAACAAGTATTGAGCCGCGCGCCGGCTCGCCGATCAAGACTGCCTCATCTACATCCGTGAGAACCTGAGATCAGACTGCCAAATACGCTGGTGGAACGTACGGTCGAGATGTCAGGAACCCACTAACGCGGCACCACGCGGCTCGAAGCACGCGCCTCGATTGATCGCAACGAACAAAAGCTGGCTGGCTCGCCTCGTGTCTCCTGCTCGCTTGGGTACACACGCACACACACATATACACACACGTACACGCATCATACACGATACACACACACGAGACCAACCGCATCTCGCTATACGGACGACAAGCAACAACGAAAATTCACTTCGTTCGCTCGAGAACGTAGGTAGAAACGGAGGGTACCGAGTTGCAGGAAGACAGTCTTGTTGGCTAGAGCTTTCGTTACGCGTCGTTAAATTCCATTTCACACTTGCCCCCGACTGAATCCTTTCAGGCAAGTATGCACGATATACCCATAATTTCCCTTTCGTTCCATCGCTAAATTTTTGATACTATTAGTTGGAGGGTGGTCGATTAACGAACTTACCCGTACCTACTCGTTTCTTATTTCATTTTCACCGATTATCTCTCTCGATCGTTCTCGTTGTCTCGTTTCCAAACAAACAAACAAACAAAAAAAAAAATATTCCAAAAGAGTTAGCAGTCCCGTACGTACGAAATAAAGTAAAGTAAAATATAAAATAAAAAAGAAAAAAAAACCGGCAGAGGAGAAAGTAAGAGGTAGGGAAAAATATTTCGTGAGAATTCGCGTATTCGTTTAGGGGATCCAGTTTAGGGGATCGATTTTAGCGATGGAAGAATATTAAGTACGTTTGTTGCGCGCGATCGGCCTAAATCGTTGCGCAATCGGACAGCTATCGTGCTTCAAGCGCTGTCACAGACCGCAATTCACGCGCGGAGAGATGCACGAACCAAAGTATCTCGCGCATTTCCCTATGGAAATATTTCTATTCTCAAATTGATCTCGAACCTGAGCAAATTCACCACGCGTTAATCGGACTCGATCGAAAAAAAAAAAGAGAAAGAGAGATTTAGTCGTATAATAGATATCGATAAACAGAATTTAGCGCAGCTAAATAGTTGTATTACACTTTCGAAAGGAAAGAAAAAAAGGAAGGAAGGAAGGAAATATTTCCGGGGATTAGGGGAGCGTTGAAAAGGTGTAACTCTCCGGCGTGGTCGCGCAGTAGAGCTCACGCTGCGCAAGACTCTCTCGCTCGCTGTGCTAATTACGCCGCCTAATGTAGCGTGCGTGCGTGCATGCGTGCCTGCCTGCCTGCCTGCCTGCGTGTATGATAATATTATGTGTGCGTGCGTGCGTGCGTGCCTGCCTGCTCGCGACGTACACGCAGTTCTCACCGTGTCACGTTCATGTCGAAGCTCCGCGACGCGGTCGAAATCTTCGAATCGCTATTTTATCAACGGCTGCTCCATTCGTCTAAGCAATTTTTTACTATTTTATTCTTAATCGATATTATTTATATATATATACATATATTAAAGAAGAGAGAGAGAGAGAGAGAGAGAGAGAGAGAAGAGAGA